AAAATTTCAACAAAAGTTTGTACATTTTAGCAATTACATGTTCATCATCAGTACACAATTGCACTTCAAATTCTGTCTTACTTTGCTCCTTACCATACTGTAAGTTGGAATGTTGAGTGTTTGTAATAGTTGGCTAGAACTACTTCATCTGACCAAATTAAAAAAAAAAAAAAGCTGTGTTATCTTGTTCTTCAGAATTGGAGGAAAATGGTGGATGCTAGCATATTTTTTTTTCAATAATTAGGTTTCTGTCTGGGATTTTCCAGCAATATAATTCCTTCCAGCTTTCTAGCAAAAATATTCCTGGTGTCATAAAACTCACAATTCATTACCAACTTATAGTTTTCTATAAAGTATCACTTTTGTATGTAACCTTCCGTCACTGGCAAAATGCAGACCAGAATAAGATCTCTGAGGCTGTAACAAATTTGTCTAATTCAAATTAGGATATAATTTAGTTAAATAGATAGCTATGCTTTTGACTGCTGTCTCATACTACTTTGTTAAAGCTTCCTTAATGTTTAAATCTTACACACACACACACACACACACACACACACACAAATAAATAAATATGGTCTTCATTTATATAAAAGTAAATTGGAATAAGAATAAGAATTGTCATATTTTTAATAATTGTTTCATTTTTTGAGGCCTGCCTCCCCTGACAGGTTGTACCTGTTTGCACTTTCTTAAGATACATGTAACAAAAATTAACTTAATTTTGGTTGTTGGCTACCAGATTTAATATAGCAAAATGTTAAAAAAGTAAAGCACACTTTTGTTTGTATCACTTATATTGAAAAGTATAGGAAATTACACTGGCTAAAAAATTAACATACTGAAGAACTGTGAAGAATCATTGAGTTAAGGATTTTTTAAAAGTCACAATTGGTCTCCATTTTAAAAATTCTTTTACTAAGTATATCCTAATAGATCACCTCAGAAATTGTTGCTATAGTTTAGTGCAATGTGTGAATCTAGCTATTGAGAGGTTTTTGATTTCTGTTCACAGGAATTTTCAAAATCAGATTGGGCTGACTGAGATCCATTTATTTGCATTTAAGGATTTGGAAGACAGATTGTATGGTTTCAGACATAATGAGATTGGAGGGAGACAATGCTAGGGACAATAAAGGAGCGGGAATTCAATTTCTTTCTGATCCTTGGGAATGTTCTGAATGGAATTCCACTCTGGAAATTCTTGCAGTGGGATAAAAACTCTGGATCCAACTCTACAAAATAAATAATATTGCAGTAATTATCTAACACAGTTATGTTTTTCTCAGAAATATGTACTTAAATTTTTTCTCAAGGATTATATTAAACTATTAAAATCTAATATGGTCATTATTTTTTCAAATCAGAGTAGTATTGGCACTTTGTATCAGGATCGTCATGATTTACATTCACCTTTGCTTCTTTACTTTAGAACAACAATAGTTCTTTAGTGTAAAAATGGAAGTTTATATGAAGTTTAAGTTTACATGAAAGCGTTTTTGCTTAATTTAATGTTATTCTTAAGACTTCAGAAATGCTTATGTGTTACATGAAATCTTCATGAATGTATGGCCTTGTTTACTTTAAAAACAAATATTAATCCTACTGCAGTGCTCTGAATGAGGCCAGTTTTGTGTGATGGTCAAATCCAAGATTAGAGTTAAGTACACTACATAAAACTGTTATTCAGAGCTTGTTTATGACCCTAGTTTGTTGGGTTCACACATCACATTGAGCCATAGTTTAGCTATCAAGATTAATTAAGTAAGCTAGAATTGGTTATTATGTAGCATGTTAAGCCATAAATTATGGTTTTCGAATCACAATACTTGAGTTCACACGCTATACTAAAGCAAAAACAGACATACCATATACAGTATTATGGCTTAATATCATATTCATGTCCATGTAACCTATCACTTGTTGGATATTTACCTGCTCTTGGAAAGGGAAGAGAGGAGCAGGAGCAAGTAAATTACAAGCATGAACATGTAGTTTGTTGACATCATGATTTATTTAGTCTGAATTTTGGTTTAAAGTAAGACTCAAATCTAGTCTGTGCAGTGATAAGGTGGGAAGAATTTGAACTCAAGAACTGAAAAGGTGAGAAGAATAATAGTGGAGAAAGAGTATAATCTCTTTTACTCTCCTTTTGATTGATTTGTAATCAATATTTCTACAGTGACATTGTATTCCCAGGAGAATACTTTACCTTCCAATATTTGAAAATTCGTTATAGAGCAGCTCCCAAGTTTGTCTTTCTTGTATTATTGCCACATGCCTAATGATTTTATGTCTTTTTACATCTTTCCAGCTTCTCTATCTTGAAGTATGGTTATTGGAACTACATATGTAGCAAAACCAGCTCTTGATACCTCAGTGTAGGTTTGTGTACTGATAGGAAGGAAGCAGGCAGGGGGTTACAAAGGCTGGATAAGTGATGCTGAGCAGAGCAGCTAGAAGAAATGAGTTGAGTCCCTTTGTTGTTTAAACTAAAGAAGCTGGCCTGATCAGGAAATACTGATGTGGAGTATCAAGTTTTGTAACATGAGCTTAGGTATCTTAGTGGTATCTGGAAAGTGTTCTTTCATATCATTTTGGCTCCTTGTAATTCTTTTCTTTTGGCAGAGTTCTGAGATGATATACAAGCCTAATCCCTTTATGCATTTAAACAGCAGTCCTGAATCCTTATGGAACACACTGAGTTAAATGAGAAAATGTGTCTTCTGTTGCTTTATTTTTAACTATTCTGTTCTTCTAAGACACCAATTATTAGCAGTGTGAAAAAAACAAGAGCTTATAATACTAGTGTCATCCATCTGCATTTTATATAAAGG